TATCCCTCAACATCCCTTAGTTCCCTGCAGTTCTTTGTCTAAGAGTGGGGCTCCATGAGCTTTTACCCTTATAAAAGTATGTTCTTGACACATATTCTTTGGGATATGATGGTTAAAGTGAGGACAGAAAATAGTGATGGAAGCTTTCTGTTTCCTTCTTTCCTCCATGGTTGTTTGCTGGTCTATGATTTAACAAGACTGTACAAAATTATATTTCCTATTAGAGTAGGAACCTGGAGGTGACTGGTGAAGGAGGTACCATTGCTGAGATACTAATTGCAATGATGACAGGAGAAAGCTAATAGAATATCAAACATTATACTACATTCTTTACACGTGTACCTCATTGATCATCACAGCAACCTCATAACCCAGATACTCTTGTTATCTTGTAAATGATGTCACAGACACGACACATGCTGTGAACAGTTACACAGCTAGAAAGTGGTAGTTGGACAATGGCCCATGCTTAATGATGCTTCACAAACATCACATTTTTAACCAAAGAGATATATTACCATACATGCGCTTCTCTAAAAGATCCCTGTCCTGAATCACAAGGAGATGAGACAGACAAAGTCAATTCCCTTCTTTCTTACTATAGGTCTCTATTTTAACCTAACCTTTTAATACTTATTAGAAAGTACACATTGTAATCAAAGTTAAGCTTAAAATGGAGTAGTTTCCATTTGAAAGGTAAGAAGGAAATGACACATGCCTAAACACATCTACCTCACCTCTTGCCATTTTATAAAAGTAGGTCACTTTGTTTGACAGATCTATGCTTTTAGTAAAAGTCTTTCAGGAAATACTAATGCCCAGAGAAGGAGCTATTATTTAATGAGTTATTAGAATGACTAACTGCTGAAATGAAATGCTCAAGCAAGTAGGACTCTAGAAATGGTGGTAGGTACCTGATTATACAAATTTGTGATGAGGTCCTGAGGAGAGAGATAGGCAGTGATCCTTATCCCTATAATCTTGCAGAAAGCTAGTGTGACTACATCAAGTCCAAGATGCCAATACTGATGCTTCTAACAATTTGTATTTTCAAGCCTACATTTGAACAAATACCAATTATTTTTGTTCATATGGTACCCAGTACATCTGACATTTCACATCAAAATTGTTGATATGTCATGGAAAGAGTCTCAGATGGGTTCAAGTTTTCAAGCTTTGCATTTCCATTCATGCCTTCTAGTTCATAGCAAATTTCACCTCAATTGTTCTTACACCACCAAGTAATTGCTTGTACTGGCTTGTTTTACATCAATTCGACACAGCTGGTGTCATCAGAGAGAAAGGAGCCTCAGCTGAGGAAATGTCTCCATGAAATCCAGCTGTAAGGCATTTCTCAATTAGTCATCAATGTGGGCGAGCCCAGCCCATTGTGGGTGGAGCCAGCCCTGGGCTGAGCAAGCCAAGGAAAGCAAACTAGTAAGCAGCACCCCTCCATGACCTCTGCATCAGCTCCCGCCTCCAGGATCCTGCCCTGTTTGAGTTCCTGTCCTGACTTCCTTGTATGATGAACACATATATGGAAATAGAAGCCAAATAAACCTTTTTTTTTACCCCAACTTGCTTTTTGGTCATTGTGTTCCATCACAGCAATAGAAACCCTAACTAAGACATTGCTTGTGCCGTCTCTTCTACAAAAAATACCACCTTTTGTCTCCTTGTTCACTGATTCATATCTTATACAGAATACTATTCAGGAGTTTCCACTTACTGGAAGCCTTCCTTGATTCATTGAAGGTCCAAGTTTTCTCAACCAATAAAGATCTATGAATCCATCTGAGTATCTCATATATTGCAATTTCTGTTAAAGAAAATATTGGAAAGAAACCTTTTTCTGATGATTGCAGTGTTTTTACCACAGTGAGTATAATTTCACTATGTCAGATCTACTCTAACAGTATTTTGGAGCCTGGTACACTTTCACTTTCACACATCAACACAAAACACTCTTATCTAAATTTTCAACTGCCATTGAAACCCCAGAGTGATATTCTATTGATGTCTTCCTATCATATTCCTGTTTGTTCAATGTTCTATAATTCATAAGATCTCATTAATTACTTCTTAGAAGTTTTTTGACCTACCTAAGTCAAAGTTCCTCACAAGAGGATACCATACTACCACCTTTCCTTTATACTGTTCTTGAATAGCCATTCCCTTATCTCCCATCTTGACATGTGCCAAATGTCAGTCATTCCAAGGAATAGTACTTTGCCAATAGACCAAGGAAATAATGAAACTTTTCCTAAACTCCTGTGGCCCAAGCCAAAATAATAATGAAAGATTACCAATGCTATCAGAGAGGTGAGAGGGGAATTTTAAGCACTTTTTAAATTGCTATTTTAAATTAGCTCTTATGGTTTGAATGACATGGCCCCCATATGCTCATATATTTAACTAGTTGGTTTGTAGTTTTAGTGGAACTTTTTGGGAGTGATTAGGAAGTTGGCCCTTGTTGGAGGGTGTGTGTGACTGTCGGTTGAGCTTTGTGGTTTCAAAAGCCAATGCCATTCTCAATTAACTCCTATGCCTCACACCTGAAGTAAGTTCTCAGCTACTGCTCCAGAATCATGCCTGGCTGATTATACCCATGCTTCCACTGTAATGGTCATGGACTCAAATGGTCATGGTCCAGATTCATGAGCTTGCACATTAAATGCTTTCATTTTTAAGTTACCTAATAACTAAGATATTAGCATACAAAATAATTGGCTTTATTATGATATTTTAATACATATGTATCATTATACTTTGTTCTAATGTCCACATGTCCCACTACCCTCCTCAAGGCTCCCTATCTTGATAGGGCATAGCTTTGATAGAGACGCCTCCTTAGAGAAAAGAATGCATCTATCTCTAAAATGGTTTCAACATGAAAAAAACAACAGTGAACTGTGGGTAGAGTACATGGCAGTTTATTTTGACGTCATCTGCCAATATTTCTATATTATTTCTTACTTTATTTTTCCATAGATGTGAGGGGGCCTTCTGAAATTCACTCACACATTCTAAATAAATGCATTGTAAATTACAATGAAAACTGGAGCTGGGCAAACCTTCTTCAGCTATCATCATATTACATACATTGTTGTAACCATTTTAAAGACTGGAATAAGGCTTAGGCATTGTCTCAAATGCAGAAAAACACAGCAGGAATTTAGACCACATCTCTAATCCCCAGTCCCATATTATGCATCCTTATGGAGATTTTAGCCTTACTCTTAATCTCCCACAAGGTTACCTCTTATGGCTTGATCAGATCTAAAGAGGAGACCCAGTAATCAGTTTACAAAATACTCCTGGTGAACCTTTCTTCTAGCTTCTTGAATTAAAATATGCTAACATTGCAGAATAGGCAGGAACCATCACTGAGATGGAGCCTATCCCTGAGGTGTACCCATTAATAAGCAACGTCACACCCCTCCACATCTCCTTATCTAGCATAGAAATGGCATCACACTTCTGTTTCTTCACTCTCCTGTCAGGTCATCCCCTCATTAGAGCAGCAGGAATATTTTTATTAAGCACATGCACTCTGGGACCAGAAAAAGACTTGTTTCTTAGAATGAGAATAATATATGCATGGCATGGCATTACTCTAAAGCCCTAATCAGTAAGAAAATGGACAGTGTGAACAGCTCTACAGGGTAAAGATATGCCAAGAAAGGGCCTCAGTAAGCCTTTCAGAAGAACCAGTTACCACTGGCTGGTAAGCATAGGCCAAGGTGCTTTTATAACCATCCCAAGTGCATTTTGAATTTCCTCTCACAGTCTTCTAAGCCACTGAATAATGTCAAAGTCCCAGCCTTCTGCTGTGCAGGAAGCTAAAGAGAAACAAAAGAAATAGATCTTGCATCCCCTACATTCCTCATGATCCTACATCATGTTATTTCCCTGAGTGAACAGGGAAAGTATATATCTGGAATTGCCAGAAAAGAAAGAAATATTCTAATATTCATATATATGTATATATATTGGAATTATTATTCCACTTTACTAATCATTGTCAGTTACTCCAGTAAGTGCTTGGACAATGATAGAAGAGTCCAACATGGAAAGATGAAGATATAGGGTGCAATACCAATGGGATGCCACTCTTCACTTCTAACCATTTTTAAGGA